TTGTGTTACATAAGTTACATTGTTGAGTTTTTAGGTGATGTTTACTGGAGACTTTCATCTTTCCGTTATTTTTTTCGCGATAGTTATTTTAACAATACAGCTATTAGCAGCTATTAACGTTTATAATTTGTTTTATTTGCAAATCGGGTCGCGCGAGATGCAAAACTGCCTGCACAAAAAATTATTACCCCTATCGACGCACAACCCGATTGAAGCGCATCTTAGCATGTAGACACGTTCGCTGTGATAACAGTATGATCCTTTTATCGTGCGAACAAAAGTACAAAAATTGTACCAGACATGCCTTATCGTAATAATAATAAGTGATGCACTACGAAAGTACTCATTATTTTTGACATTGACAAACGAATAGAAACGCATCGCAAACGTATAGAAAAATACGAGAAGCTCTGAGAAAAATACGGGCAGGCGAATCTTTTAATATAACGCGAAAATGCTGGCAACTTTGCATCCGTTTGCGCGTCCATATCTTGTTGATCGTTCCAATTGCATTTAATAATCCGCTACGTGCGCCACATGTATTTTTATCGTCATTTTAGATTCTTAAAAATAGGTTCCTAATACGCGAATCATTAAATGTGTGTATGCATGTTTTACTGTAGCATTTTACGATGTTTTTGAAAATGCTTTGTGATCTCCGAGCGAAAGAAAGAAGTAGGCCTATAGTAATAAAGTCGCTATTTTACTGCAGATTGAAAAAAAGGAAATCTTCGATTTTGATCCTTCCCTGATGACGGAAGGTTCATCCTTTAACTTTTGTAAGAAAAAAAAAGCATTTATCGCTATCGGAAACCATTCGACAGAAATCTGGTCTCTCAGGAAGAAATGTGAAATTTTTATGCCGATAAAAATTTCAAAAGGCGAGGGAATGCAAAAAAAAACAGAAAGGGAATAATGAATTGTAAAAATAACGCCTAGAATTTTGCGTATATTGTATTATAACACCTTTCAGTTTGTTTTGAAACGTTACAATATAAGGAAACATTTTATAACAAATATATGTTCTCTTCTTCATACAAAACACCCTGTCCTGCTTAATGGTATTATGAGTAAGAGGAACGAGAAATGATGACTGCTATATTTTGTTCCTCATTTAATATATTAAGTTAGAATAGGTAGGGTATTTACATATTATGGCGTTCATTGAAAAAATAACATCTCTCAATTAGACGTTTCTATCATCTGTCCAGTGTCACGCTTTCTCATGTGATATATAATACATACATCCTGCGTGGGTGTTATACTTTTTTACACTTTGATACGAATATGTACATGTACGTTTGTAATATCGAAAATAGAGAGTATATAATGAGATTCAAGACAACTGATAGTATGGAATTAGCTTCTCGTCGCGAGTGAAATGTCGATCGGAAACGCTTTATAGTCACATCAACAGTATATTCCTTAACTTGCGTAGAATACTTCCTACATTAAAGTGCTAACTTTAATGTAGAAAAGAATATTTTTGCGAATATATTACGAAAATCATATACAATCGAACGTTACAATCAATCGCATGTAGTAAACGACGTAGAAATGTTTGCTAATAACACATCGTCAGCAGTAATAAAACGTTAAATATTCCCTAATAATAATAAACTCACTTTACAGACAGCCTATTTATCTCGACGATAATTATTATTACTTTATTTCTTTTTACATAAATAAAACGAAGGTATTTTAATAAATTTATAACACGAGACACAACTCTCGTTATATAAATATATAGTAAAATATAGAATGTAATAAACGCGCATATTGATTTTACGTAGATTTCTCCTCTCCCGCCGAGTGGAAGCTTATGGAGGCGGAGTTGATGCAGAAACGCTTCCTCGTAGGCTTCGGTCCGTCGTTGAACACATGCCCGAGGTGTGCATCACATTTCGAACAGGTCACCTCGGTCCGCACCATATCTGGGTTTGCGATCAGCAGTAGTAGATTGCCGCCGACTAGTTGGCGCCGTTTAATTCGACGCGATGCGCGATTTTCAGTGGTGTTGTTTTTTTTTCAGTGATGAGAGTGAAGTGGTTCAGTAGTGGTAGTAGCCAGGAGATTGATCAGGGAGGACGAGAGGAGAAAGAACAATAGAGTGTGATTAGACGCAGACAGACACCCTTTTTTCAAGGATACAATTTTCAAGAAGTAACAGAAGCGATCTAAAAGATCTTGAAATGAGAAGAAAATCAAACTAAAGATTGATCCACCAATCATGAGGAGACAGCTAACATTCATGTGACACTAAAAGAATAATGATGAAGTGCGTACATATATGACGGTTTCATTCAATATATACATTTTTATTTTTTATATCTAATTTTTCTGTTAATTTGATACTTGTTATACGTTTTCAATTCAATAGTACGCTTACTTGACAATATCGAAATAGACTGGCACACCTAAAGACATATTGTACCTTGGATTACACTAATTATTTTTTTAATAATAACAAGATTTTTAATGTTGGCTGCTCAGTTACATTAACTAAAATAACTTTTTAACTAAAGCAACATAACTGAGCAGCCAACATTAAAAATCTCGTTAATATTAAAAGAATAATTAGTATGTCCCAACTTGTCTAGGTAGAATACTTTTCAGCAACGAAATACAATCATATACTGTGTCGTAGCCGAAACGTTATTTAGCTTTTTTTTTATTTTACCGCTAAAGTGAAATCAAGAAAAAGGTCTGATGCATCTATGTCCAAATTTATCTGAATGTAATCTTAAAACCGTTTATCAGTATTTCACTACCAGAAAAATAAATGGTAATAAAATATAAAAATTTGGTATTCATAAAGTGATTTAAAATGATACAGTCGAATACAGCATTTTAGCTATGTATGATCGTATAAACTTATGCTATAGTTGAAAAGCACGGAATCCTACACTACTGTATTACACGATATTGTCTTTTTTGCTGAAAAGCACTCATAATCTCCTCTACATTATATTTGTAACTAATATATTTTTTTTTTTTAACTTATACGGCATATTCATCTTTATTAAATATTTACTTACGTTATAGAAATATTGTAAGTTCATATAGCTGTGAGTATTGAAACACACTTGCAAATGATTAAATATTATTTCAACTGGCGTAATTTAAAAGCAAAAAAAGTTTATTTGCATCAAATGCTTCTAAAAAATGAGATCTATATGCGTTAAGGATTTGCGAATAAAAAGAAGATATTATTACATTATTACTTTTAGCTAAACTAAACGAAAGAATGTTATGTTTATCGAGCAGTCGATAACTTTATGCTCATAAACAGTTTACGATAAGATATTTGTATCTAGCCTATTGGTCATATTTCCAATGTTTCATAATATACAGCTAGCGTATTAGTTTCATAGAAAAAGTGATGTAAGTCTAACACAATCACACTCTAAGCAAGTACATGCAGGAACCGAGGAGAATAGGAAATTTCAACTAATATATATAACATTATATTTACACAGTAGAGAAAAATACATCATATATAAATGAACACTACAGTTCCTGTTTTTATTATAAGAGAAATATTTTTAAATTGATATCTATGTACATAAGAAAATGTTTACATTCATCAATGAGACGCGAGGAGTGAATGACAGTAATCATAATTTTTGCTACGAATTAATTTGCGATAATTTTATGGAAAATTGAATCTTATGAGAAACTCAATATAAAGACTTCTACTTTGGATAGGTGCAGAAAGTGAATGAAATGTGACCAGGATAGGCTCAGTAATGTTATGCAAGTGTACAATTATGATACAAAAAAACAAAATAATATGAACACCTACTAGGCAATACTCTACTTATTTTATTGATAAAAGATTGGCCCATCATTTTTATTTTTAATACACATTCTATCCTTGTTGGAATAGAGGAGGAAATTTTCTTCTCACTCTATTTTCTAAAATTGTTCTATTTTCAAAAACTGTAACTGAATTCAAATATTATTAATAGTTTTGGAGAGCAGAGTGAGAAACATATTTTTTTCTTCAATATTTTTTAAGCAATTAAATGTTTTGCTAACTACAAGAATGATAGAATTATTGCACTGTAGTAGTTGCTACACTATTCAAGCATGTATGATTCTATTTTAATAATATAGAATTTGTATTAAAGATAAATGGCGAATCCTAATTCTTATTAATAAAACAAGCGGATAGTATATTTCAGGTGTTTATATTATTTTGTTCATATCTTATATACGTTGCGATTATGATGTTGTAAATAGCGAGCAGGTACAACGTTAGAATCGAAAACTTATTTACGAGATACAGATATCCTATTCTAAGTAATTTGAATGTACCTGCGGACTATTGTACAATGTTTAGATGAACGTGAGGTGTGAATTGCCATTCTAAGAACGCGAGCATAATTACAAAAGATACGCTATCGAAGGTAAATCATAATGGCTCTCGCTTACCATGAGAGGTGTCTTTGGTCAGTTTAATGCGTCCTTGATCCAGAACCTCGTTGAATGCAGGCCAACCGCATCCGCTGTCGTATTTAGTGTCCGAGGAGAACAGTTCTTGGTCACACACGACGCAAGTGTACGTTCCCTTTTCGTAGAATTTGTTGTAGCAACCGGTAAATGGCCTGCACCAAACAAACGAATGAATCAGGGGATGATGAAGTGGCAATATTAGGGGTGGAAAGGGGGAGGTCACAAACCGTGACACATATAGCTTATTTTTAAACCTGCTGGCCATGAGACCGTTCACGCGCAAACATACAAAGGGACGCTCTTGAAAAAGTTATTTCGGTGTTCCTCGTCCAAGATTGAACGCTTGAACGAGCGTGTAGAAATTCGTGTCTTTTTATCTTTAATTCACGACAGTCGTAGTAAATTATGTCACGTTGCCATCTTATTTGCGATATGCAACGTGAGAAATTCTAGCAAATTTCAATTAACAGTACATCAATGTTGTAATTTTTCATTCAACAATGTAAATGTAATTAAATAAAAAAAATTATATATTCAGTCAAAGCGAATCTTAATGTTTAAATAAAATATAAATGTAATATAATATATATATTATCTCTAAAACTTTTAGAATAAATCTTATTCTGAAGAATGAAATTTCAAAGAAACCAAAGAATTTACAGAGTATGACTCTATACATATTATTAAATGGAAATTATAATATTGATGTATTATAATACCCTATACGCATATTTATGTGAAATATTTATGTGAATAATTGTTTGAAATATTTTAACAAACTATATAATATATAAACTCATAAACAAAATTTCATAAAAAATTGTAAAACATTTTAAAATATTGCAAACTGTTTTACTAAAATATTTTAGAAATTTGAAAAAAAGAATATTTCAAAAACTCTGATTTCCTGGACAATTATTACTTTAGAAATATTTCATAAAAAATTCCTGAAATATTTCAAAATAAAATATTTTGGAAAAATTTCTGAAATATTTCATGTTGTATAGAATTACTATTAATAATATATTAATTGTTAATATATTATAACTATTATGTTATTAATTTTTACACGCATAAAATCGTATCGGATGAACATACATGGTGTATATTGATATTATTTTTATATACTTCAGAGTAAGTTTGACTTGCTCGGAATTTAAGCGGAACATTTCTAAATAACCAAGCCAAGTGGCGAGAATCCACCCGGCAGATTGCGTAAATATGGAGCAGACGACAAATAACATCCGTCTGTGTCAGCAATATAATTATACGTTGCGCAACTCCATGTTGCGCTTTGATCGCCCATTACAGCATCAGCTGACGTCTCTTCGCTGAGCGCGATAACAGGAAGTAGGTCGCAATTGTTAACGGAAGAATAAGATTTCCGCTTTGAGTAAGCTGGTGCGTGGCAAATTTTCTTTAAAAGTATCGTCAAAAGAAACTCATTTCCAGACCGGTTCCTCGTAACAAGACTCCAAGCAGAACAAAAAAAGTCATATCAAAATGACTCTAAAATAATTACTTTTCAGATGATTTTAATGTCATATTTTGACGTTATCATGACCTGTTGTCCTGCTTGGGCTATAACCAGATAAACTGAACCGGATCCGGTGCGATCTCGCTTGGATTATTATCTTGGCCACTAAAACAGAAACCGTTCGATACCACGTCGTCATCGACGTCGTCGTCGTCGCCGTAAGCAAACCCCTGGGGAGCGTTCTCGAGGACGCCGGTATCAGCGGTAGTATGACTTCCAAGTTCCGCACATGTGGCCCTCACCTCTCCGTGCCCTTCTCTTGCGTCACATGCCATTGCAGCGGCGTCAGGCGCTTCCGTGCTTCCTCCTTGTCAACCGCCGTCGTCATCCTCCTGATCGCACGGAACGTGTGTCGCAAAATCTTGAATAACCGGGACCGGGATCAGCCGGGATTCAGAGAATTCAGTAGAAATGTGAACTACACGCGCCACAATTCTACGTTTTCCGGCCGAATGTCTTTTGGATCTCCAACTTCGCGAGTACAGAACGCGCACACACACGCTTATCGGCCAACTTCGCCGCACTGAACCGGAGTGAACCGCGCTCCGAGTCGCAAAGCACGCTTCGTCGCGCGGTCGACCGGGTCGACCTCAATTGGCGCTCCAGTCACGTTCCAGGGACCGATATAGCTGTGCTCCAAAAAAATTCACTATCAGCGCTGAAAATCTATAGTTTACACGTAACTACTGCCAACGCGGTGCTACAAATGCTTTCAAGCATTTTTTGATTAATTTGTAACATTCTTTCTTCTAATTCGTCAATCAAATGCTTTAAAGCATTTTTGTAACAGACTTTGATCATAGCCTACGTTGTGTGCACTATATAAATTTTCAGCACTAGATTAGCAACGAAATTTGGAATACAGCCACATAGATTTCATATATAAAAAAACTCGCACGATATTTTATTTATGACAAAAAATAGTAAAAAGGTATAACATGAAAAACTTATATATATAATCATTGTTTAATTTAATTATAATTTGGTCGAAGTTCTGAAAAATAACGGCGCGGGGTTATTTTTTTATTAATTACATAAATTGGTAAGATAAAGCTAATTACATAAATTGGTAATTTGGAAAATTTTTTAATTAAATAAATTAGTAAATTTTAGCAATTAAAATAAGCATTTATTTTACCGGTCTCGTTTTTTTCTGATATTTATTTATCCGATATAATATTTAACATTGTTTTAAATTTGATTTTAAAATTTTATTAATAAAACGATTTTATTTATCTCGAGATATATTATTTTAATATAAATATAAAATCTGATGACGCAACAACGCGCAATATATAACAAAAGCGATTTCGGCCAAACTCTTTGAATTAGATAATAATTATAGTTTATAAACAGAATCGTATATAACAATTCTAATTACGATATATATTCGTCTCTAATTTCTAATCTTCTTTCTGTAACAATAAAAAATTAATTTTATCTTAAATATATTTTTGCAAGCAGGTTACTGTAATGTCATAAACTTAGTCACCGATTATCGGTCACGGCGATTTTCAATTATTTTTATATATCCATCGAATTCATGATAAATTTATTGGCGACTATGTATATACAAAATATAAAAATTTGATCGATTGCACATTTAATTGTTTACATATTTCACATTAAACATACAGAAAATACAAGTGAACTAATTTACTATTATTGTTAATTAGAGTTGCCACAATTGTTTTCGTCTCGCTATATTGTTTTTCAAACTAAACTTTTTGCAGTCGATCGGCGATTTATTTTTGTGCACAAAACTGAAATTCTTTTTGTCTTATTTCATGTTATTCTTTTGGCGTATTATTTTTTCGAAATATATATAAGAAAATGCGTTGCATTGGTCACGATATTCGATTATGAGTCGTTTGATTGTCCAATATTATTGTCATTGAAGGACAAACCAAAAACCGGATTAAAGTTGTGCAATCAATGAGAAATGACGCAAAAGAAACATAATGGACACGTAAACGTGCGATGGAAACATAACTATCTGTTTGGAAAAAGTCGCAAATAATGAAGGTATAACTAAATTAGGTTTATTAAAAATTATTGAAGTATTAAGCTAATACAATATTATTAAAGCTGTTATTTGATATAATAACAAAAGGATCTTTAGTCAAATTATTTTTGTTTATATACTTTCGAAATACTTAATACTGAAATTACAATTTGAAACGTCGCATTTTTTGTTTATTAAATATTATTGAGATATATAGCCGTTATTTTATAACAAAAACAGTTTTAGTCAAATCATAATTATTTTGTTCCTATAACTTCGAAATTGATTGAAAATTAACGTATCGCGTATGATATTTAAAAAGCAAAATCATCACAATATCAAAGTGAAAATTGCTCTAAAATAAGTACTTATTAAATTACTTTTCAATCAATAACAATTTATTTTAACGTTATTGACGTTCTCATGATTTGTTGTTCTGCTTGAACGCATTTATCTTTTAAGATATCAATACATATATCTCAAGGAAGATCATTTATTTGATTCCTTATAAATTTTTTGTAATAAAATTTAGATGTGAATTTCTGTAAGAAGTATGAATTGAAACAGCTGCTGCACATTTTCCGAGAACTAACGCCCTCTCTATTGTTCTTCGAAATTAGCGATGAAAATGAATTTACATGAATGAGTGAAGTAATTTTCATATATACAGAAAAAAAGTTTTGAAAGTTTTTCGTTTTTTTTTGTCAAACCGTCTCGTTTAGAAAAGAATTGTAAACAATAAAAAACTATAGAATTTGAAATACTTTCCTTAATTCGATCATAAACTTTTAGAGAATTGCAATTCGCACGTTGGTAACTATGCAGTCCTACAACGGACGAGCGTTAACTTCACACTATATTTTCAATCGATGGTCGGCGTCGTAACAGCTTAGGAAACCGCGTTGCCAATATCGCTTGTAAGTCGTAAAAAAATTCCATTTCAAGTATAAAACTAACGAGATAAAAAATATCCAATAACGAAACAAAATATTGAAGGATCGAAAATTAATCGGTATTGATTCGAACGACTTGCGTCACTTTCGTTTGATCTTCAAATTTCGGTTGCTCCGAATAAGTATGACGGGAATGACGTCACACAGTGGGGCCGGCGGCGAGCGCTCGTGATTGGTCGGCCGGGTCGGCGCGGGGTGGCGCGCGCTGCGATCGACAGTGTCGGCACTGAGCGCGGCCGCCATCTTGGCAGATAGAAGGAGCCTGCTGTCGCCGTCAGCCGCCGATGTAACGCCGTCCAGCTGAGCCGTTAAAGCTGAGAGCGCGAGCTGCCTGGCTCCGCTGCTGGTGGAACGCGGAGAAAAATCGCGGCGGGCTACCGTTCGCTCCGTTACGCGAACGCAGGAACCGGCTCGAGGAAGTGGTGGCGGCGGACGAGGAGAGGCGGAGGAGGTAGAGGAGTAGGAGCAGCAGGAGGAGGACGAGAGAGTGAACGAGGAGAGGTGCCGGAGGACCGGAAAAGCAGCGCGCGACGGGCCGAGTATAATATCGGGGTGAGCGGGACGTCGCGGACGCCTCGCGCGGTAAGCGCCTCGTCTACGGCTCTGTCGTGTCGTGTCGTGTCGTATCGTATCGTATCGTATCGTGGCCGTGATCGTGATCGTGTCGTAGTGTCGTGCACGAGGTGAAGTTAATCCGGAGTGCTCCCGAACTCCCGTAGTCTCGTTCCCGTCCGTCCATTCGCGTCGCGTTCAAGGACGGCCAACTTCACCTCGTTTCTCGCGACCGTTTCTCGAGGAAACCCCTCGAGAAATTCCTCGTCCCTGTTTTCGTTCTTGAAGCCATCGTAATCGCGCGATCCTTTCGTCGTTCGTTCCACTGGTGTAACCGAGGGTGATAAGACTAAGCCAGGGCGGAGAATTGTCGAGGGAGGATACGCGATCTTCACCGCAAACGTCAACTGCTGCTGACTTCTGCTACCACTGCTCTGTGACAGCGGGACAGTATGGCGGGACAGACGATCAACGACAGGCTGTTGGCCGCGAGGCACAGTCTTGCTGGCCAGGGCCTCGCCAAGTCCGTCTGTAAGGCTACCACGGAGGAGATGATTGGCCCCAAGAAGAAGCATCTCGACTGTGAGTAGAGAGTGAAAGTTTGCCCCCACCGATATCACTGCAAATCCAAGTCCAAGTGTAGAAAAAGTCACTTCGTATATATGTATGTGTTATTTAGTTCCTAAAATTTTTAAAACGAATTTCACTTTGAAAAGTGAAATCTCACTCTTAAGGATTGAACATGGAGCCATTTTCAAGACTGCCTCAATTTTCACTCTTTAGAGTGAGATTCCACTTGAAAGAATTTAGAGATAGTCTTCCGTGTAAAAATGGCACCGTGATACATGTTTGAATGTATAATATAAATCCATATTTCTATGCAGCATAGTGTTATTTTTACACATTTCGGATTTGCAGCGATATGTCCGTCAAGTGCCATCCTTTCACGCCATTTCGATCATTTTTTAAATTTTAATTGACACTTTGACCTGGTACTGTTTTTTTTCTCTTTGTATTTCCAATTTTCAAATTGAGGAAAAAAACATTGATAAAATATGGAATTTGTCATCCGATTGTTGGAATTCTTGATAGGGAAAAGGACGTCACAGGGTGTCGCCTGCTCCGATTTCGGTGAGATTTCGTGGCCGTTTGTGCTGTTGATTCACAGCGAGGGAGACATAGGGAGACGTCGAGTCGCTCACCTTTTCCTATTTGCCTGCTTTCGCGAAAGAAGGCGAGGAGCGAGCGACTTGCCCTCTCCACTGGTCTCGCGCGAATCCTCGGCGTTAAGCAATTTCTCAGACGGGCATGGTTGAACGAGATCGACCGCGGAACGTCGGGTTTAATTCTCCTTTCCACATTGACATGTACATTGACGTGGCAATTAAAGCAATCGAAGTCGATTGTGCCAACTTTGAATGCGTGCTTGCACTTGTAGGATTTTCACAGGATTTCCACTTCACGCTTCTCACTATAATCTTGCGACAATTCTGCGAAATGTGTCTCTGTTCAGGAACGCGTGCTTTGGAATGCTATCTGAGTGAACAATGGAGCTTCTGGAGAGTGTAATAATAGTAATCGTCATCCCTTGGAGTAGAGTTATCATATCTGAATCATAAGAAAACGATACATATGCATATTAAAAAAAAAAAAATTCCGTTAGCGGAAGAGGACTGAGGAGGGGGTATACTTTTTTCTATTTTAAATGTAGGTATTTAATAAACTAATATTTCTAGAACATAATTTTTCTGATTGACAATTCTTATTAATATAATTTTATAAATGTATAAACTTTTAATTAATTTAATTAATAACTAGGGAAGTTCTATGAGACTTCAAGAAGAGTACATGTAGTTTTAAAAGAGTACTAGTAACTTTATCCAGAAGGAAAATGATTCCAGATAGAACTTCTTTTCAGCTGTAGTTTGCTCGTTGCGTTTGAAAGACGAAAACATTCAGACTTTTAAAAAGAGAAAGAAAAAGGTATCGCATAGGGAGGTTAGAAAGCGAAACGTGGAAAAGGGATAGGCCTCTCGTATCACGCATGTTCGATTTCTGGAGTCTTTTC